TGTGAAGACTAGTTGTTGTCATTTGTAGATATTATACAGAGAGAGGCATCTCTTGCAAACAGAAACTTTGTTGCATTGATTAATGGTAAATAAAGGGTTAATACTGCTAAGAGTAAAGAAGGGGTTAATTCAGTGGAGAAAGGTGGGGCCCCTGAGGGGGATTTTAAATAAAGGAGTGCATGTCACGTGACAGCCTTTGAAAAAGTCTATTGAGGGAACATGTCAGGCTGACAAATGTTTTTCTGGAACACGGAGCTTCCGGCCTCACTTACACTGGCTTTGGCAAACCTGCGATCATATGTGTTTATATGCATTTATAGGACATTTCTGAAACTCCTTTAAATGCATATAATGATTTTAAATGATATAATTGACACTGTGAAATTAATTTCTCAAAACTGGAGCAGACAGAATCTGGAGCAGTTGCCCATGACAACCAATCATCTTCTAGAATTTTGTGCATCCTGGGGCAAGTTAAATAAGGGCTCATTTACATGACCCTGAAGGGCTGTACAGCATTCAAAGGCACATGATTTCTGTGCCTAAAAGTCACTGGGGGGAATTTATCAAAACTGGAGCAGACAGAATCTGTAGCAGTTTCCATGACAATCGGCTTCTCTCTTCAGTTTGTTCGGTTGAGCTTTGAAAATGAAAGAGAGAAGCTGATTGGTTGCCATGCACATCTGCTCCAGATTCTGTCTGCTCCAGTTTTAATAAATTCCCCTCATTGTGGTTTGCATCTGGCCACAGACAGCAGCCTCTACAAATCAATGGCAGGCTGACAGGCGCCGCAGCCGTACGCACATTCGAGCGTTTACATCCATTCAATTGCGGTGCCTGTCAGCCTTGTCATTCATTTGCTGCCCACAGTTGTACACAAACACCTGTGACTCCTGAGTGCTATAATCATATTCCTTTGTTTTCTAGAGAAGGGAAGGGAGAAGCGCTGCAAGCCGAGTAGGGAACAGGGCGATTTTTTGCTGAACCTTGTAAGGGGGGGAGAGGGGGGGCTGGAAAACTGGGACCTAATATAAGTTCCCAAAATTCCGTGGTTAGTCCAATTAGTTCGAGTGTGGTCCCAAAAAATAAAATAAAAAACATCAAATTGTGGAGGTAAATGAAATGGTGTGTAAAAAAAGAGTGGAAACTCAACATATCTCCAATTTAACCCCTCAAGTGTAGCGCTGTATCCTGGCATGCTGTCCTTTTAACTTTGTTTTCTACCCAGCCCTCTGCGGCCGTGTGAATGAGGCCTAAGAGCCCATTCACACCAGAGCAGTTGCGGATCAGCGCGGTTACCGCGCTAATCTCGCACGGGAGGTTTTGGGAGTTTTGAATTGTGTTTCAGCGCTGAAAACCTGTATGGAAACTGCACTGATCAGCGCAGCAAGAGTAGTGCAGGGAGCAGTTCGGGCGGGGGGCGATTCAGATCGCGTGGACCCGCGCGGTCGCATGAACGGGCCTTATAGCAATGTATGGGATCGTTCATGTTGGCGGATCCGTGCGGCTGAACTACCCCGGGGGTCTAAATGTGTGTAAAGGCCTGGAAATGTAAAGGCTAAATTTAGCTTTGTGGGTGTAATATGAAATGTGGACATATTCCCCGCACCCTCAAACTGCCCTCCTCCCCCCCATTACCTGAATCACAGGGGTTTTCTTCCTGCAGGCTCCTGTATATAGTTGAATTTGACGCGGATGTGCGTGCCCTCATCTGCACCTTTGAGTCATTCATTCAGAGCCATTCAGAGGATCTGTGAATGAGAAGTCTACAAGTCCCATGCCACCACGGCAGAGGGACTTGTTTTAGATTGTAAGCCGTCACGGGCAGGGCCCTCCTTACCATCTTGTATAGTGATTGTAATGTCTTCCTTATATTGTAAATCTCTGCGCAAACTGTTGGCGCTATATAAATCTTGTATAATAATAATAATCTCAATGGGCTACAAGTGCAGTGATGTAGTCCATTGATTACTGGCCCCAGCCCTGTAAATGAAGATGTGTACCGGGCCTTGAGGAATAGTCTGCAGGAGCCTATGTACTGCCCCCCTGATCCCATGATCGCAGATTGCTATGCTTTTCAGACCCCAATGAACGCATTTTTCTTTGAATCAATGTGGATGCATTTACTATTATGTTGCAGAAGGTGAACTATGCTTTAAACGCAAGAGTGCGCAATCTGGGAAGCCTAAAGTTTGTTTATACTTCCCAGATAATTTCTCCTGCGTATGAGTAACCTAAACACAGGAGCGCTAGTATAAATGTAGCTCCAGAGGTTTTACTCAAAGAGAAGCTGTCCTTGTATCTTCTGGATGCACTGCCTGCAATAGAGATGAAGGGCTGCGAGGAAGGACAGAGGTAAGCATGCATTGATGCTGCAGGACCAGAGTACAATGGGAGCTGACAGTGGGGGAGCTCTGTATGTGTGAAGTAAGGCAATGTTGATGTCATCATTTGCATGGGGAGTGTGAGAGGACTGAACATTACCAGTGCGTGTTATAAGTATCCACAAAGACACCGGTAGAGATAACTGCATTGATCATGCACTCTGCATAAGGACACCCAGATATGCCCCTTGGTGACACCTAGCTTGTGTGTACTACATCTGGAAAGGATTGCACTCATAGACTCACCTTGTTCTCTCCTCCCTGTCCTGCCTCCTACTTTTTGGAGGCCCAGCTGAAATATAGACCACTGGTGAGTCAGCCTGCTGTAATCCGTCAGATTTCAGCGTTTTTGGATTTGATGTCCAATGACCTCTGTGCTTTTCTGCCAAGTGGTTTGGGACAAGCACTGCACTTGCTTGCAGAGCTGCGGCACTCCGCTTGTCCTTGTGCTGGAGGAGCTTAGCCACCAGCCCCCACTACTGCACTACAGTGTGCACTGCTGCTTTCAACACACTCTTATCTCCTCCTTCCTTCAGCAAGCTCATTGCAGTTGGATAGGACTGGAAAACTGTAGGTGAAACGCTCTGTAAAGTCACAGAAATGTTAGCATACACATTTCACCCTCATATAGAGAACATGATTCTTTGATTCTGGCAGTTCAAAGACTGATATTAATGTACCCTTTGGAGAACATGTATTCAAATGTCATTCAGAAAATGGCAGGTGGTCTTTCCACTGTCCTCCTACAAAGCACAGGGTACTAGCTTATCTTTGCTGAATCAGCAAACAACAACAACAAAAAGACAGTAATACAAACTGTATCATCAGGGCAGAGATTCCACCAAATGTGTCTGTAGTGTGTGACATTTAGAGGGTCATTCACTAAGAAGTCGAAGCATATAGCCATAGCTTCGGCTAATCCTTCGGCTCACTTCGGCTGCTGGAGCCCTTTGATTCAGCCAAACTGAAGGGCTGCTGTACGGGCTGTTCACAATAGCCAATACATGTACAAGGGCAGCCGACGGTTCTCCCTGCGAATGTACACAAATATTTTTTTTAATGCCCTGGTAGGGCAGGAAAGGGGGCCTGCGCAATACCAGGTACCTTGTCCCTGGTATGGTGCAGCACCCTTCCTGCACCTTTTCCACATGCCGATGAGTACAAGGGCCTCTTCCACCACAATCCTGACTTGCTGGTTGTGGGGGGCTTATTTGCATCAGGGTACCCCGTTTACTCTAGGGGCACCCAGATGCTGCCCCCCCCCCTACCCCTCTCATTCACTAAAGGGTTAAAGTAAACAGTAAATAAAGAGTCCACACTTTAAGAAAAAAAATCCTTTAATTGAAAAAAACTAAACAAACTTTTTTGACAATTACTTTAATATAAAAATGAATCCAACGACGTAATCCAGGGGTCAATAACGATGGGTTGCCCACGACTATGTCGAAATAAAAGAAGCCCGCTGCCAGCGGACCCGTCTGCAAATGACGAACTACCACTGCAGAATGGTGACATCACAGTTAGCTCCGCCTATCTGTTGACATTGTGCGGCAGCTGTCAAACAGGCCCCTGGCCGAATGAAAACAATGGGCTCCACCCATTTGTTGTCATTCAATGGCAGGCCAATGTCCTCAAATCACAACTAGCTTCGCCTAGCTGTTGACATTTTCCCTGCATCTGTCAGACTTTCATTCTGCGGCAGCAGTTAGTCGGGTGCAGACGGGTTGGTGTGCGCCTGGGTTTTTTATTTTATTTTGGCAAGTCAGCGGTGTCGTGGGCAATGCTGGACATCATGATTGACCCTTGGATTACCTTGGTGGGATTTATTTTAATTAAAGGATTTTTTCTTTTTTTTAAATTCTTTATTTACTGAATCAGTGTCATATAACATAGTAACAGTGGATACGGTGAGGTTACAGCATACACCGGCACCGCAAAATAACAAACGTTTGCAAATCAGACATATTCAGCAAGACTTCTAAGATCAAACCAGTAAACGTGTGTCTTATCTAAATATAGTAAAATCGTATTCAGCTATACTCCACATAGTTCCATTTCACAATAAAAGAAAGTTCCGCATCTAAATATGGAGACGGAAAGTAACTGTGTCTTGTGGAGAGAGAAGAGGCCATAGAGAGCGCAGATAGAGAAGAAGAGAGGGGAGTGGGTCCGGACGGGGCCTAACGCACCCTTCAAGGGTCCTGTTCGCCGTCCTGGGAGCTCCGGATGGGGAACTGTGCAGAGGTTCTATAGTACAACCATGGTCCCCAGGTGGTATTACATTGGGCTTTGGTGCTTTTCAATGAGGCTGTGAGGTCTTCCAGTAGATAAATATCCTGGACCCTGGAGAGCCACTGCCGGACTGTAGGAGGCTGGGGGTCCCGCCACTTCAGGGGTATACAGGCTCTGGCTGCATTCACCAGATGATGGGTTAGTGAGTGTCTGTATTTTGAGGTCGGTGGGTCAAATGGAGCAGGCATGCCGCAGGGTCACCCCTGAGATCTGCCCCCGTCAGGTGTTCAATTATCTCCAAGGCCCCCTCCCAAAAGGTCTGGATCCCAGGGCAGCTCCAGAAGACATGTAGCATTGTGCCTGAGTCCCTCCCACATCTCCAACATAGATCTGGAATCGAATCGTTCATCTTATAGAGCAACCAAGGAACCCTATACCAACGTGTCAGGATTTTATATCCTGACTCTTGATATCTATTAGCTATAGATGCCTTGAATGTCATTTCCAGGATAACCTCTCTTTGTCTGTCGGTAAAGCTGCATTGCAACTCTGTTTCCCAGTGTTGTAGGAAATGTAAAGGGGTGTCGTCAGCCGGGTCTTGTAGTAATTTGTAGAGTTGGGACACCGCATGTCTGGCGGGGAGATTACCTGAGCATAACTGTTCGAAAACTGTCAGAGGTCTGTCTAGCTGAGGTGCGTTTGGTACCGCTCTAAGGAAATGGTGCAATGAGAGGGAGCTCCAAACGTCCAGAGGAGGCTCTTTGAGGGATTGTATGGATGCGAGGGACAGCCAGTCTCCAGAATTTCTAAAGTCAAGCAAGCGAAACTTTGAGGCGTTAAGAAGTAAGCGACGCAACCGGCCATTAGTTGATCCCAGGGGGAAGTCGGGGTCCCCGAGGACCGGGGTCATGGGAAAGGGCGTCGGGGAAAGTCTAGATGTTCTCATGATTTTACGTGACACTTGCAGGGTAGTAGAAACCAGTGGATGGAGTTTGACCTCTGTGGGCAGAGGGGAGGATAGCCACGGGAGTCCTTCGATCGGGAGGTGGGACACACTCCGTTCCATCGCCACCCACTCCCTGTCCTCCCTCTGGAGGCACCAATCAAGGAGTCTTGACAAGTGTATGGCAGAGTAATAGGTGGAGATGTCTGGCAGTCCCACTCCCCCTCTGTTCCTGGGAAGCGAAATAATACGTCTGCTGAGGCTAGGTGTCTTACCCGCCCATATGAAAGAAATGATGTCACTGTGTATTGTCCGGAAGAAGTGAGACGGAAGGCTGATGGGGAGGGCCTGCATGAGGTATAAGAGCCGTGGCAGTACATTCATTTTCACCGCTGCACAGCGACCGAGCCAGGTTATGTGCAGGGGTTGCCAGGCCTTGAGGTCAATGGCAATCTTCTTCAGAAGGGGGTGGAAGTTGATGGTGTATATGCTTTCTAAGTCCCTGGGAATAAGTGTGCCCAAGTATTTAATGTGGTGCGACTCCCAGTGAAAAGGGAAGTGAGATTTGAGACCGTCAAACGCCCCCGAGGGCATGGTAATATTGAGGGCCGCTGATTTTTGAAGATTAACTTTAAAGTTGGATAGTTGGCCATATGCCTCGAAGGCTATCAGCAGGTGGGGGAGGGAGTTTACAGGGTTCGTAATGAAGAAGAGGAGGTCGTCCGGGTATGCGGCGGCCTTGTGTTCCCCCGTGGAGGTGGAGAGCCCTGAAATGTTCGCAGAGTTTTGCACGGTGTGTAGGAATGGTTCCAAAGTAAGCGCAAAAATCAGGGGGGACAAGGGGCATCCCTGCCTGGTACCGTTGGTCAGAGGAAATGTCTGGGATCTGGTTTTGTTTACGCGAACCGCGACCGATGGGGAGGAGTATAAAGCCTTTATCCATGTCAGCATGTTCGTCCCCAGGCCAATGTGTCGGAGAACCCCAGACATAAAGGCCCAGCTCACCCTATCGAATGCTTTTTCGGCATCCGTGGATAGCAACATCATCGGGGTCCCCGATCTCTGTGCCTGGTATATCACCCCAAGGGCTCTGGTGGTGTCATCTCTAGCCTCACGTGCCGGTATGAAACCCACCTGGTCAGGATGAACAAGCTGTGGGAGAAATGGCAGCAGTCTGTTGGCTATTATTTTCGTGAATAATTTCAAGTCCACGTTTAACACCGCTATGGGACGATAATTGCTACAGTTGGTGTGGTCTTTGTCGGGTTTTGGTATCACCGTGATCCACGCGTGTAAAGTGTCCGTCGGAGGGGGTGAACCCGCCAGAATGCCATTGTACGCCGCCAGGAAGGGACCCGTCAGGGCGTCGGCGAAATTTTTATAGTAGGGGAGCGTGAAGCCATCCGGTCCCGGGGCTTTCCCAGATTGGGTATTTTTCAGCGCCCATAATAGCTCCTTGGGTCGGATCGGGGCCTCCATACTATCCCTGTCCTCAGCTGCAATGGCATTCCGGACGCCCCGGATGTATTGTATTATGGCTGCCTCTGGGGGATGTTCCCGTGCATTTGAAGGCCCACACCCTAGGTTGTACAAGGACTCATAGTATGCTATAAATTCCGTCGCAATGTCCGAGGATATAGTCGCCTTGCGCCCGGAGTAAAGGATTTTTTCTTAGTGTGGGCTCTTAATTTACTTTTTACTTGAACCCTTTAGTGAATGAGTGTTGGATCGGCTTGTTGGACATATGGAGGATGTTCGACTGAAACGGAGGTAGCTGTAGCCAGCCGATGTACGGCTGAAATCAGCCGTGCCCAGCTGAAGCGAATAGCCGAACGGCGTTTGGCTCCCTTCACTTCGGCACGTTTATTCACTCAGCTGCCTCAGGCAGCTGAGTGAATAACGCCCTTAGTATCCCTATCTATATCCCATGAACTAAAATTCATGGTCTTAAAGTTGGGTATACATCTAACGTATTTTGACCAATTCTTCAGTCAGATGCAGGCTCTGCTCGGGCATTTTACCAGCCAGTGGGGCCAAATTGCAGAGGGTATGACAGCAGGCAATATGTGTAGGAGAGGCGTGCTGAGGATCTGATAATAAACAGTATGTGTAGAAGAGCAATGTAGAAGCTATGACAGTGGGCAGTATGTGCAGAAGAGTAGTGCAGAGGGTAAGACACTGTGCAATATGTGCAGAAGAGTAGTGCAGAGGGTATGACAGTGGGCAGTATGTGTAGGAGAGGGGTGCAGAGGGTATGACAGCAAGTTGTAAGTGCAGGAAAGGAGTGTGGAGGTTATAATT